GCACATAATTATTAATTGCATATAATTAATAAGACCACACCAATAGTCCATTGCCTCCTCTTGCTCTGCTTAAGAATATGTATTTATATTAACAGTATACTAAGAAAAGTGTAAATGTTTGTTTTCCCTTGTGTGTTACTTCAAGCTAGTTCACCATCCAAGCAGCTAGAGAGAACTCTTATCACGCACAGGCAAAAGCTCATGTGATCATTTTGTTGTATTTATATTGTAAAGCTGCTACTGTTTCACCATTGTACAATAAAGATAGATTTGATTTTTCAGGTTTTAGTGAAGAATCGTAATATTTTTTAGCATAATTAGTTATTGTACGTTAACGAGGCTAAACATATACGACGAATAAATAAGGAATATATATAAATATGTATAATTTTTAATTTGACAAAGCCTAATATAATTTTAAGAGGTTTCTGTGAAGTTTTTGTTTATTTGTTAAGTATTTTGCGAAATTCTAGTCTTACCTAGGAATATTCTTCTTTTTGTGCTCGTTATATGCGAAGGGTTGCTGAAAAGAACTAAAAAACAACGTTTTTTATGTAATTGATGTTTTCAAAGCACAATATTAATGTTTTTTGTATTTTATCTTACTCGAGCTACCTCAATAATGGAAAAGTAATCATGGAGGTTGTAATATGTTTCATATTAACACATTGACTTGTGTTCTTTAATATGTTATATAATTTATGCCTGCCTTCTTTCTTTATTTTAATTGAACCAACATATGTTTTATTATCATTAAGATTGTAAAATAATGTCCAATAAATATACACATCTTTTTTTTGTCAAAGTCTTGTCTGTCTTTAATATTTTTTACATTTGGTGCCGAAACCCGACTTTATCATGTCAATAAGGAGATCAGAGAGGGAAAGACACCCTCCAGACAGATATACTCCAGCAATTGGGAATAACAACGACAAAACTGTTAATCTAAAGCCAAGTAAAGACCAACCATCAGTATCTGCCAAATCTAGTACTTCTTCTAGTAGACGACGATTAATGGAAGTGGAGTTGAAGAAGCTGGAAGAAATACAGAAATTGGAAAGAGCCCATGAGGAAAGAGAAATGGAGCGACAACGACAAGTTGAAGAAATGGAGCGACAACGACAAATGGAAGCTAGAGAACTAGAGCGACAGAAGCAACTGCTGACAGCGAGAGCTGAGCTTGAGTCTGCTTCAGTGTGTGGCAGTCAACAGTCAAGCCACCCTAGTAATCGATCTGAAACCAAGGTAGGACTTAGCATAAATCTTGATGATGAGGAAGAACCGCAAAGCAAGGTTAAAAGGTGGTTGAATGAAAAAGAACCGACAGTTCTTAAGTCCTCATCAGCCATCATGACCTCAGCCGTGCAAAAGCTTGCGGATACCTTCCAAAAAGCTATACAGCCTGTTTCATTTCGTCAAAAACTTCCAAGCTTCAGTGGCAAGCCTGATGAATGGCCGATATTTTTTCGGCGTATGAAAAAACTGCCTATCTTTTTAGTGAGGATGACAACCTCATAAGAGTAAGTAAGGAATTGCCTAGAGGGAGAAGCAGTTAGAATGGTTAAGTCTCTTTTTGTCTTAAGTCATAATCTTAAGTCAATTATGAAGACCTTACAGATGCGTTTTGGTAGACCAGAACTCATTTTGGAGTCAATGTTAAAAAAGACTCGTAGGCTACCTTCTGTCAAGGAAGACGACACTACAAGTCTTGTTGAGTTTTCGACAAATATTTTGAATTTTACTGCTACAGCAGAGTCATTACATCTAGAAAATTATGTATTAAACCCTTACTTACTAAATGAATGTCTCGACAAACTTCCCTATAGTTTAAAATACAGGTGGGCTGAGCATGTAAGTAATAATGCTCTAAGCAGTCCCGACTTGAAGGAGTTTTCCACGTGGTTAGAAAAACAATGCTCAATCCTGAGTATTTACTTTCGTCCTACAGAAGAGAAACTCTGGCAGAAGAAAACTGACATAAAGCCGGTTTATACCAGTTCTACCGAAGACAAACGGTTTAACTGTATGTGTTTTCTCGACAACCACGAAAGTGAACGATGTGGAGTTTTCAGGAAGGCAGATGTATCGCAGAGATGGAAAATGATTGTCGAAAAGAAACTATGTTTCTTCTGCTTTCAACGTCACCAGCTCCAAAAATGTAAAGTAAAAAAGGTTTGTGGGATAAATGGGTGCAGGTTGTTTCACCATCGTCTTCTCCATACTGACAAAATTGAGAGGTTTCCCAAACAGGACAGCGAACCGCAAAATAAAGAAATTATTAGCAGTCATGTTGTTAATAACCGTGTTCTACTAAGAGTATGTCCAGTGACATTATATGGCCCAAGTTGTCAGATCGACACTTACGCACTCTTAGATGACGGGTCAACAGTATCTTTGTTGGATTCAGCTACAGCCGATAAATTAGGCGTCAACGGTAGTATTGAACCCCTCACGACATGCTGGTCCAATGCAACCCAACATTTCGACCCAACATCCATGACTGTGAAAGTTAAAATTAAAGGGTTATATGAGGACGAAGTATTTACATTAAACAATGTACGAACCGAGTCACCATTGGACTTACCAAAACAAATGATATATACTGTCAAACTGAAAAAGAAGTGGTCTCACTTACGGTCAATTGGTCAACCTTTACCGTCAACAAATTTGAAACCTACAATACTTATAGGTCAAGACAACTGTGACCTTATTCTAGCAAGGAAAATAGTTGAAGGTCCTCCAAACTCTCCAGTCTTGTCTTGGAGCCGTTTAGGCTGGACATTGCACGGTAAATGTCATGAACACATTGGGCGAGTAGATAGTCAATTCACTTTAACGTCTTTTGAAAGTGAAAAACTTCATGATATTATCAAAGATTCTTTTGAAATCGAGAATTATGGCGTGTCCCTAGTAGAAGATGACAATGTGAAATCAGTTGAAGACGAAAAAGCCCTCAAGATTTTAGAAGATACGACCAAAAAAGTAGGGGATAGGTATGAATCCGGCCTACTATGGAAGTCAGAAGACTTTAAATATCCACCGAGCTATGAAAATGCGCTGAAAAGGCTTAAGGGTATTGAAAGGAAGATGGCAAGAGACAAAAACAAATGTAAAAAATATTAAAGACAGACAAGACTTTGACAAAAAAGATGTGTATATTTATTGGACATTATTTTACAATCATAATGATAATAAAACATATGTTGGTTCAATTAAAATAAAGAAAGAAGGCAGGCATAAATTATATAACATATTAAAGAACACAAGTCAATGTGTTAATATGAAACATATTACATCTTTTCCCCTCCAACGGTAAGGACTGCAACTTTAGTCAGAGGCCGACGATAAGTTCCTTTTGATGTTGTGATGTCTACTATTCGTACTTGGCCATCGTGACCTGGGTAGACAGCCGAGATTCGGCCAAGGGGCCATGTATTTCTTGGGCAGTTTTCGGGTACCTCTGGCACACGTAGATATGAAACTGCTGCATAGCCTCTTCACTAGCATCGACAAACATATGGAGTTCAACTTTTTCAATTGTTTTGACGTCAAAATAGCATCGAGGTATGGTGAAGCTCTGCAGACATTTTACTTCTTGTAGCCAGTCTTGCCATTTTTTACTAAGTTCTCTTGAAAGAACCTCGTCCCACGTTATGTTTGTTCGCCAAAAGTCTTGAACAAGCATTCTCCCTTTTATAATAGTAGGTACAACTAATCCAAATGGATCGAAAATGGACATAGCTCCTCTTAAAACTTCACGTTTGGTCGGATACCATGTTTCACCTAACTGTACCTTTTCGGCGTTCCGGTGAAATGAAAATTGGTCAGTTTCAGCATCCCACCACATTCCGAGGATACGTTCTGTAGCTAGACGACTTTTAGGTTGCAGCTGTTTTGTAGAGTTTGCCTTCAAATCTTCCGGCATTTCAAGTAAAATTTCTTTTGAATTTGACAACCAGTTACAGATTTTAAAACCTCCGGACTTGTGAATTTCTGTTATCTGTTGTATTCTAATTCTAGCTTCTTCTTCTGTATCAGTAGAGTCTAGTAGATCGTCCATGTATTCACTGCAGAGGATCGCTTTACTTGCCTCTGGGTAAATTTGTAGAAACCTCTTGGCGTTGCTGTTTACTACATACAAGGCAGTACTCGGGGAACACGTTGATCCAAATATCATTTCTTCCATGATATAGGTATCTGGTTTGTTGTTCGGATCTTCTCTCCATAGAAACCTTTGCGAATCGACATCTTCTTTTCTGATACGTACTTGATGAAACATTTCTTGTATGTCACCTGCGATCACAAATTTTCTTAATCTGAATTTGAGAAGTACTGCTGGCAGAGGGTTCAAAAGGTCAGGACCACTAAGCAAACCATCATTGAATGACACACCATTCGCTTCAGCAGCTGCGTCAAATACTAACCTCAGTTTGTCAGGTTTGTTTGGATTTATTACCCCAAAATGAGGCAGATAATAAGTCCGGTCATTTATAACATTAGCTTCGTCATCACGTAGTTTCTGATGTAACCTTTTTCTTCATAGTCAGTGATCTTGGCTTTGTATTTGTTATGAAAGTTTTTGTCTCTTGCCATCTTCCTTTCAATACCCTTAAGCCTTTTCAGCGCATTTTCATAGCTCGGTGGATATTTAAAGTCTTCTGACTTCCATAGTAGGCCGGATTCATACCTATCCCCTAATTTTTTGGTCGTATCTTCTAAAATCTTGAGGGCTTTTTCTTGTCTCAAGTCAAAATCTTAAGTCAATTATCAAGACCTTACAGATGCGTTTTGGTAGACCAGAACTCATTTGTAAGGTCTTGATAATTGACTTAAGATTTTGACTTGAGACAAAAAGAGGCTTAACCATTCTAAATGCTTCTCCCTCTAGGCAATTCCTTACTCTTATGAGGTTGTCATCCTCACTAAAAAGACAGGCAGTTTTTTCATACGCCGAAAAAAATATCGGCCATTCATCAGAGGTATAAATAAAAATGTCAAGATTTATAATTTAAAACGTATTTATTACAAAGACACGTAAAATGAGACAACATATATTTATTTTGAGCTAAACAATAGTTATATCGATACAGCAAATCACACTAGACACGCGTATAATTATTTACAGTAATTTTAGAACTTAAAGATCGCAATATACCTGGAATAAATTAGAAGACTTTTTATTTTAAGGTAAATAGGACATGTAATTCATTCAACGAGACTTTTCTTAAAATAATATAAACTCGTAATATTGATTGAATCACTCACTCATTCAAGACTCTTTTTAAACTTTCAAATAACTAGGTAGTTTGTAGTTTTTAAAAGACTCAAACCTAGTATAATAAAAAAATATTTAAAGTGTAACTTAAAAATATACACCCCATTATAAATTAATAAACTTTAGTAACTTAACTATGTTTTTTATTCTATGGAACCGTTGTATTTTTTTGACTTTGAGTATATACAAACTGAATTGTGAGTACAAAATTGCTGTAAATTGTGTGCCAAAATATTCGAATCATAACTATACTGTCATGGGATTTTTAATGAATGAATAATTATTTACTTTTAAATCAGTTTTTGGACGGTGTTTATTAGTTTGTTTTTATAACTATTTACTTTAAACTGTTTTGCAGAACATAAATAAATAGCACAAAATTTAGCTTTATGCATAACAAGATTTTTAATTTATAATGGTGTAAACAATCATCTTGAGAGAAGAATATATGGCCATAGAATAGTTTACTGTTTAACACCATTACATTATAGGCCTAATTAAAATCTATGTTTGAAAAAGTAAGTCTTACAACCGGATAAGTCAATCATATAAATTTATCTGCATAGAACAATAACTGATTCAATCTCAGCTATAATATTAGCAATGTGTTGTTACTTTTTCATTGATAAGTTGTTTAAGTCAACATAAAAAAGCTCGTTAAGAAATGATGTCTATATTTTTTTTTTGCTTATACATTACTCTTTAAAATTAGGCCAAGGGATTTTCCATCCCTTTTGAAGAATATGTTTTGAAGAATATGATCAGGAATGTTAAGCAGCTTAAATGTATACTATTGATAACTTGTATCTAATCTTTGTGTTTTGATTTAATATGTCAGCAGTTTATTTTCGCCTGGACGTTGATTGAAATACATATCAACACTAAACATGTTTGGAAAACTTCATAAAACATTTTACGATTTTAGTAACTGATTAAATTAATTTTTCAGTTACCAATGCAACTAGTACCAGTCGTTGGTGGCATTTCATATCGACTTACCAACATATTTGTATACTTATTTCATTCATATTATATTTACACAACACAGCATTGACAAACTTTAATTAGTCTTAAATATGGCACGGTTAAAGCTACAAATAACTCTTTGGAAGGTATTTAACGTAAATAAGGTTAACGTTAAACTTACGTCTAATAATTTTTTAAAATTAGGTAGGCTAGAGGTTGACTAAGTTTGAAATAAGAATTTGAATATTTCTTGTTCGTACTAAAAAAATACACAATTTAGGCTTAAAAATATTCTTAACAAAGTTGTATCTACCCAATTTATAACGATTTTAACCTACATAGGATTCTATATCAACTAATCATAAACAGCTATTTAATCACATATTAAAATTACAAAATAGAAAATCTCTTCGCTTAAACTACCATAACCCTATAAAATAAATCACAGGTAACTATGAAAAATCAAATAACAATAAACAAAAACAACAGTGGAACGTACAATTGGAATAAGTGAAGTTATACAGTTATTTATTATATTTCATGAAAGCTTTATCGTTAGTTGGCACAAAATTTACAGGTGTAGGAAGAAACAAATTTCTGGAAGAATTTGTTTCTACAGTATGATCTGTAGGGAATGTTCAAGCTAAAGTTAAAGGGTATAGTTCTAAAATTCTAATTCTAATATGACTTTTGAAAGTTAAAAAAATCTTTCATGTATGAACATGACAGTTATTGTACAAAGCGATTTACAAAAATGTCAAGAAACTTCAGCAGTAAAACTATATGAAGGTCTTATTAAAACTACTTAATTGAAAGTATTTAATTATAAAAATGATTCAACTAGGAACAAAACTATTACAAGGGACATAATAAACTAAACTTATCTAATGTGCCATTCGCTTATCTTAGTCTGAATATTGTGCATTTACCAAAATATTGAAACATATAATTTTAGGTTTTATGCATACAATTTATGCTTAGACAATTTATACATCTATACAAAATTACATTAATTTGAGAATTTACAGGGAAATTTACCAACTAAAATATAATCTTCAAACTCAAGTAAAAACTAGTAAGGACCTAAAGTTCCATTTTCATGGTGCACTATGATAATTTAGGTTAAATTATTCGTTAACATATATAAAAACATGTTGGAAACGTGGATTTCCTTTAAAAAAATATACTTGGAAGAGTTATTTCTTGGCACAATCATCAATGAATTGGCTGTGGTAGATTTAGTCACTTGTTCACTGGTGCTCTTTGGGCTGCTTTGATGCAGATTATACGTAGTCGTTGGTGCCCGGACTCGTCAACGGCTCCTGCGCCTAAGGAAAAACGTTAAAATAAATATATTAAATACATGATAGACAAGAATCCCAACATTATGGGATATCAGAAAGTATTTATGGTACATTGAGCTTCATATTAGAATCCTCAACTTATTTTTATGATTTTCATAATGAGCTTTAAACACCGAAACCTAATTTAGTAAATCGTCAATGTTATCACCTTAACCATTAATTTCCAAGACATATTTAGGTTTTACGTTGGTAAAATTAAGTCGTTCTCAGATGACCTACAGATGACCTATAGATGATTTATTGTTGATCATGTGCTCTGATTGGTATGAAGTTAATAAGTATGAATCAAGCAACATATATAGTAAAAGAGTGGGATGGATTAGAACAGTTTCCCAAACAAAGATTCTTACCTGTAATGTAAATCTAGCTTAGATACTAACAAAAAGAGGAAACCTTTAAATATGAAATAAAACTTTTAGCGTTTTGAATTATTGAGAAGTCATATTTAGCACCGAACCTACAAACGTTCTACAGAACTATTAAAATATCGAATATTTAAAAGTAATCTTCACAACCATCTATTTAGGGAATTGGGTACTAATTATTATTAATCTCCAAAAAACTAATTCCACCACAACACCGTATTATTTTACGTTATTCTATATTGCCTTTCAGTATGCTTAACTAGTTTTTTAAGTAACCATTTTCAAAAGACTAGGTAGCTTCGAACTCTTTGAATGAATCAATATTGAAAGTATTCTAGTTGTATTCACGTTATAGCCACAATATAGGCATAAAGTAACAATATAAATACCTGAGAATCACATTTCATAAAGATAATTTTGAATTGACCAAACAATTAACAAGTAATTAATAAAAATCTCAACCAGTCTTTAATCTAACGTGTGCAGTACGTAAACAATTTAGTTTTTAAATACTCTTAATTAAATATAGGTATATATTTCCACAAAATTTTGCTAGTAAAACATTTCATAACAATCTAAAAGGTTTAAAACTTCATGCCACATCACAACATTTAACATCGCTTTACATTTGAAACTTACCAAAAAATCATTAAGAGCCTGCATGGAAACATTATATAGTAAGCTTTTGCTCTAATGAACATCATTTCAGTAGGTTAGAAATTTACATCCAAACAGTTAAAATAGATTCAATTAGTCATAAAAGATAAAATCAAACATGACCTGACAAAGTAATCAATAATTTTAGACTTTTTGTGAAATTTATTCTTGCAACACAAGACGGACATTTTGTAGCTAAATAAAAAAATAAAACCAAGAATACATTATACATAATAAAAGCCTTTTTTTGTTGTAGTTTTCAAGTGAAATGATGTGTGTGTAAATATTTGTATATGTAATAGTAGTTACGAGGGCTCGTACCTTAAATTTTCCACTCGTATCGTTAACTTTATCTACGCGAGTTACGTACACTACTTTACCTACGAGAGTGTTTTAATTACTAAAAATAAGTGTTTACCGGACGAGTTACGTACGATAGTTTACGCCATACTACTAAATCTGTACAAATTCTTAACATATTACCACCAACTAAAGGACTAAAAATCACTAATGTTTTTGTTTATAACCATTCATTGCTACCCAAATACAGTGTAAACAGCTGATTGGTGTCCAGTAGTACGTAATGAAACCCCATTTGATTAAGCTGGCTTTAAACAGCTGTTTTCTGGACTATATCCTTGCGTGGGAAGTTCGTCAAAATAGTGTAGTGTGGCGTAAATCGATATTCAGCATTTCTTTTGAAGTTAACACACATTGAAGGTGTTTTTTCCTTAAATGTTTATAAAAGGTTTCACAGAATTATATAAGTTTTTTTCCACGCCTGCAAACCTTAAAAAAGTACGTAAATAATTTCCGTACTATTTCCATAATCTTTCGTAAGCTCATATTAACCCACACAATTAAAAATAAACATAATATAATGTTTGGTCCACAGTTTTTTCAACCAACCTCTTCTCCAACCGTGGACGGGTAGATGCGGGTGGGCTGATACTGATTCTTCTCTAAAGAGAATTGATCCTCTGTAGTCTTTCTGTATACAGGGTTGTCGAAGTTCATACTGGTTACATTGCGATGTAGGTAATGCCGGTACACCGCTAGGGCGATCTGAAAAAGTAAAAGTAATTTCTCAAATGTCTAGCAATATAATATGTACATATCTCCTATTGTAAGTCTTCTAACATAAATACAATTGTGTCTGTGTTCTGGGTAGTTCAGAGGAGATAGTCCTCGTCGTCGAGGTATCAGGAGATTATTACCGTTTTGACACTCTAAGATCAGTAGCTTTTTGATGCTTTAACAACTGAGCCAGCTGTAATAATTAGGTCTCTATGGCCCACGCTAAATAGCTGATATTGATGAGTTACAAAGAAAGTAAATAATTCAACATCCCTTCACTAATCTCCGCTTTTATTCAAAATACACTGACATGTCGATGTCGTAATGATAGGTTCTAATCTAAGATAGATTTACCAATGACCTTTCAGCTTCCACTCTATAAATTGTCTGTTATACTCAAGGACAGATTGTTCAATTTTGGTAATAGTGACTCCCATGTAGTCATAATCTTAGTAGAAATCATAGCACAAATTGTATTCTTCTACCATCCTCCTTAAAAAGGTTTCCACATTTAATAGTAATTATTGAAGTGGTGAAACTATTTTAGTTTTATAATAGTTCATAACCACAGTTTCAAAAATACTTTAAAAATGTAGTTTGTGTAATAAATAATAGGCTAATTTAGAATTAAAAGACACACAGTTACATTTTAAAACCAAGCAAAGCTGCGCAATTATTTTTTGCAATTACTGTTAAATAAACTTAACTATCCAGGAAACATGGGACTTTTACAACATCCGTACACAGTCAGCATATTAATAATCTGTCTGTCTTTACGATTTGCGTTTGTGCACAATTTTGACCCTGTTGGTGCAATATAAACTACTTATTTTGAAAAATATTATAGAACCGTTTATTTAACTATTACTCACCAGTGACACAAATATAAGAACCACCGTGACAACAGCGATGACGACCATTGCGATCATGCCATCATCTGGCTCTTCTGGAATTGGCAAATCTTTGGGTGTCTCATTCTCAATCTCTTTGGTACTTGCTGTTAACAAAAGAATTAGTTTGTGAGCAAAACAATCTTTTAAACTTTTCGTGATATTATGTAGGCAAAATGACAAATGAATATCAACAAAATTTAATGTGTTGTTCGAGATATAATTACGGAAATTGTTCATTACGACAATGAAAATCGAAGTTTTAGCCACGTTTTGAGATTGGGAAGTTTGTAATGTTTTTTACGTACTTGTTTAATTTGTTATATTATTTTTACTTAAATTTGTTATCTAGACTAATAACGTACTAGCCATAAGCGGATGTTAAAGTAGGCCAGCTAATTAATTTTGTAACCATACAAACTTTGTTATATCTTGTTTGATATATTTAATTATAATGTGATATGTAACGATTCTCAAAATTATGAAAACTACTGTATTGTAACATGTTAAAAGGACAACACAAATATTTTCTTTGGAATCTGATTTCATCATCTGTACAGGTGATAATACTAATTTCATAATTAATTGCCTAAATGTTTACAAGTAGGCATACTTAAAATATGTTATATTGGTAAACTTTTAAGACATAATAATATACATGCCGACTTAACCCACACCAGAATATACTTAAAAAATATGTAAAAATAAAATAAATACATCTTCACGCGGGAAAGAGTATTTAAGAAAGGAGGCCATTTTAATTTATACAATATCATAACCGGTTGGAGTGGTTTAAACCAATAGAGCTAGCAAAGGCATATACACCTTTTATACATGGTGTAAAAAAAAAAGTGTAGTGGTCTGTGTAGGACCCAATTTTACAAACCAAAATAATTCGAAAATGCCCTTTAACACTTATATTTGTTATTTCCAGGCCGTCATTGTAAAACTGTAATACACATTTTTGACTTATTTTGTTAGTAAAATTGGGTCCTTTGTAGGGTACTATACATTTTATGACACACTCTATGTACGTAAAAGTTAAAATAAATTAAATAGGTACAATTATTATAAGTCCAGTCGTGTAAAGCTCTAAGTCTAAAGAAACATTTACAGTATATTCATATTCATAATGTAAATTAAATACAGTATAAAAAATAATTTTTACCCACCGTAGATCCCTATAAAAACTATATGGTATTTCAAGTACAGTACTATTGTTGCACATACGATGTTTTTATTAAATCTGAATACTATTAGTTATTAATAAATTTTATTCGGAATATATTTATATTGAAATGTAAGAATATTTGGTTGGAATTCCTTAGATCTATCTATTCTCATGAACGGGAAGCATGTGGATAACTTACATAGGGAAATAAAAACTTTATGTTATCGAAAAATTAAAAACCATAATAAAAAAGAGAAAAATAACAAGAGAAAAATTAGGAATATTTATATATGTGAAATATATAATCATTATATGAAAATATGAATAATGGATAAATGAATCTATTTCCCTTCTCACAAAACCCTTTATAATCATAATAATTATTGTTGAGAACTTTCTCAACAATTAAAATATATTAGTTATTATTCTTGTTTTTATATTTTGACTATTTTCAATCATTAATCATGCGTTCATCCATCCTTTGTAAAAAGGGGTTTTCATTAAATAAATGAATAGTCGCATTATTGGTTAACTGATATAAACCACGAACTGTTTACAATATTATAAATGAACAAACGTATGGACTTATTAGATTGTAAGACAATAAAGAAGGCATACTTATAATTCAAATTAGTTTAGAATAAGTTTGAAAACCTTTAAAAGTATGGCAGAATAGTAATTTAAGGGCCTATAAGCCAAAGATATATAGCCTTTCTTAATTATACAAAACTATTTACAGAATCCATCTTATTAATTAAGGTTAGTTGGGAAATTAGAAAGTTAGTTGAAAGCATGAAACTCGTGCAACACATTTGAATAAATAATTTAAGCCAAATTGAAATTAAAGTTTCATATAATAAATAATAAGAAACAACCTTAAAGTAGTTGTAATTATAACGCTTGATATTTAATGTTGGCTCCACGATAAAATTATAATTAGAAGGTTTATCTCTTTTTGGAGTTTCAACTTGAGCTATCATATTATTTTGTCAGGAATTACATTTTATTTTGGAATTGACTTAGCAAATTTAGTTGATTTATGTAGTTGAATTGTCTAAGGGGTTTACTTTAAAACCACAAGTTGCATAATTGTGTCTCCTTAACTAACAAACAAATTGCCATCGGTAAAAAATAATATACCGTACTGTCGTAAATATTATTCGTGACAAAATATATTCATTGTGTATTTATTTTTATAAAACATTAATATATTTAAATATTGACATTTTCGAAGTAGAGTGTTCAGAAAAAGCAGCGAGGAAGAAGAAAAGCTCACACATTCGGCAGGTGTACTCACGAACTAATGTAACATTCAGTGAAGGTGTCGGTTCTGGGATGATGGTGGTAGGAACTGAAAGAAGAATTTCGTTAAGACTTCGTTGGTTTTTAAACTACTGTGTAAGGTATTTTCTTTCTCTTATAAAACGGGTATTTTGATTAGATGGGATTTTTGTTGCCACCTTTTTTTCATCAAAACAGTTGACAATATATTGGGTGAACAACTTAACTTTGCCTCTATTCATATAAAAACTATAATAAACTATAAAATGGGTAATTACAATACACAGCATATCGGGATCTGAAATCTAATTAATCCCTTCCTTACACACACATTACTAGTAACAATACACAAAACCCAACCTTTTATACATTACAGAGTGGCAGTCAGCAGTCAAGTCATGATATAAAAAGCAAAATATAACCAATCCCATTGTTGGAAGCCATATTGGAAAAGGGCGGCCATTTTTGAAAAAGCGCAATTCATAATTCATTATATCATAACAAATAATGAATACCTCCGTTTAATGTTTTCCTTTAATTTAATGCTTCTGAGATACTTATGGTGGCAAAGTTAAGTTGTTTGTCTGTAATTTTGCAATCTAATTTCTAATTCTAATTTGGCAAGCATTTGAAACAGATTTGGCCAAAATATTATGATTTTATTCATGTTATATTCATGTTATGTCTTATCATAATTGTTAATAATTTAGTAACTAAAAAATAAACAAAAGGAAAAACAAACAAAACGTATAAAATAGGTTTAAAATTGAATAGGTGAGTCGGAGTTTGGGTCAAAGGCAGCAATGTAGTGGTACCTGCCACTACTTTTTAACAGTACACTTCGCCCTTGCACCCCTTTTATGCTGGATATGTTCAGAACACAGGTGAATGGCCTGAGTGGGCGGGAAAATGCAAGGTTATAAGAACTACAATTTTATTTTGAAACACGCTTTTACTAACTTACTTACACCTAAAAAAAACTACGGCGTTTTCCCCTTGTTAATATTATAAAAAAATTTATATTTCATTTCTTGGCCTCTTTTGTTTTTATTTGTGTTTCCTTTTTTAATTGTATACCTTTAATATCTTTAATATCTTCAAATTTATGCTAACAATTTGTTGAATTTTCACCACTGTTCTGTTTTGCCTTTCAAATTTAGGTACCAACTTAGATTTTTAACAGTGAACTAGACGTATTATTGATACCAGGCTTAGCTAATTATTTTGGTTCAAAAAGTCCACCTTTCTTGCGTTAGTCGACCCACTCCCAGAGTGTAAAAATGCCTTTGTAAAACGTTTCAGCGTTAGATTCGTCAGCACATTAAATGTTACGATACTTACGATCCTCAGTGCACATAAGACCGTCTGCCATGAGTACAAGGCCGTCAGGACACGCGCAGGATATCTTAGGTGATCTATTGTTGATTTGCGGCGCAGGCAGACACAAATGTGAACAATGGCCGTTGACAGCAGCACAGTAGTTAACACCGTCAGGTTGCCTGTAGGGGTGGTACACGTGAAGGACCATGGGGTGCTGGAGCTGTAAGGGAATGCAATTATAGGTTGTATTTATAATGTTTTTGTTTATGAGCTAAAATGCGACGAGAAGAGAGAAGGAAAGAAAGGAAATGGACAACGGAAGATTAGAAGATAAAGGTAAAGAGCGGGATTTGATTATTTTGATAAATAAAGGTAGAGTTTGGTGATGAGAGGATAAGAATAAAATAATATACTGGAAAATCATAGGATGAAGGTTTGTGTTTATTTTATGTTCCGATATTTACAAGGAAGATAAGCGGGGATTGGTAAAAGTGATATATGTAGATCTGCATGCAATCACGGAATGCTGGTGTTATTGGGCTAATAGAAAGAAGCATATTGAAGGAGAAACTGCTGGTTAAAGGACAAACAGGTATTTCGTTTCATGATCTATAGCTTAGTATAAATACATACTTGTGTGTCCAAGCTAATATTTTTAGTTAAAAGATCAACATGAAGGGATACCATGCAAAATTTGAATAATTGAAATACACATTTAAAATAAATGATTATACAACTATGAGACATTGATGAGAGAATAAAAAAGTTAAATGAAAAACAAAATAAACCAAACAATTTGTAGGTGTGCAGCTATTGCATATCAGTGGGTGCATATCCAATTCCAAATGTTTCAAAACGATATTCCAAATTGATACCTTTTTGTTTTGATTAAAGTACATATCCTACAAAAACCCAACAAAACATGAACAACATACTAATATTATGTTAAGAATTTGTTTTACAAAAATAAAGTAATAGATAGTCCTTCAGTTGACACATTGGAAGGCATGGATTAAACTGTTTAAGCATAGCCTTAAGTTTGAATCTTACGTAATATTCTGTATATACTTTACCATGTGTAACGCAGTTATTGCATTAACCCTGCTGCCATTGAACTTGTTGGCGCGAAAGATGGCTTGTTTGTCCCAGTCCGTCCAATAGACGTGGTCTTCGAACACACTGATGGAGAATGGATGATGGAGGAACTCAGGAGATCTCAGAACCTTGAGTAACAATCATACTGTTAGTAAAAATAATTTTACTTTTCAAGAACAGAGAATAATTGTTATCTTACTCATCTATGAGGACATGGAATCTGTCAAAAAAGTTAATTTAACATATGTGAGCTTTTGGGTAGTGAGAGAGTTACGTTGTATTGAAGTTTCGGTTTAATCTAAATTTCTTAAAAGCACAAAAAATAACTACACGTTAACGGTAAAAAAGCTTAATAACTAAAATACAATAACAAATATACTAACATAACTTAATTTTTAATTTAAAAAAAAATTTTAGCAATTATTCTCTTGATTTTTATTGTCTCTTTGTTTTCAGATTTTTTATAAAAATATTAAATCAATACAGATTTAACAATTATATAATGTGCATATTTACTTATTAGAATACAACATACCACTTAATAACTGCATCTTTAGGTAAAGCATTTGAATTTACATAAATATTTGAATGACAGTTTTGTTGGCACATATACAAATAAATAAAGGTAATTTTGATGGTTCTAATAGATGAATGAAATTATTTTGAACTTTTACAGTATTATATTCGTAAATAGAAAATTGTATTTTCACCGAACAGACTTTACTTCCTTGCCTCTGGTTCCCAGCATTACCAGCTAGAGTGATTGGATTCAAACCTAAACATAATTAAGGTACCACACATGAACTACTGAACCATTCTGGCCTAACAATTTTAGCCTAAAACATAAAGTAAATATTTACTCGCATTGTACTTACTTGTCTGCGAGCTGCACCGTCGTAGTCACAGGACGAGATCATGTTCAACTTGGCGTCCACCCAATAGACCCTGCGTCTTACCAGGTCCAGAGTGAGTCCATTGGGCCACTTGATGTCGTAGGAGACGATAGTTTGTCTATGAGAGCCGTCCAAACCAGCGCGCTCTATCTTAGCTTCCTTACCCCAGTCGGTCCAGAACATCCAGCTGAAAGTTTTATCATGTTTACTTCTTTCCTTCACACACTAGAATGCGAGGCTGAATATCGCAGAGCCGTGACACATTACTTCAGGCTAGTTCTAAACTAAAACTCGCAACTAAAACTATCACAACTAAAATTTTTGTTTAGTAGGATTTGAACCTGGGACCTTACGGAACAAAGCCACGTGCTTTGGCTCATGAGAAATATACCAAATTACTACCAAAATGTTTCATAATTAGAATGGTGAATAATAGCTAACAATTTCTAAAATGTGTAAAAGAATGTTTTTTCTCACTGTGAAATAAGTGTACGTGTTTATGAAAGCGCATTTTAGTGAAACTTTGGACCTTGGGTAAATATATTTCTTATGCTAACTTATTATTCATGGGTTGTGGAAAAGTTTAGCTGAGTGTTATGAATAAGTAATGCATAAAAGGTATGTAGACAAATTCAGAAAAAAATTGAAAATATTTAAACTTTTAAATGTGGTAGGTAAAAATATTTATTCGGGCAGGTTATTTACATGTTGCCCCCAAATAACATTAAACAAATCATTTTTTTAAATTATATTTATTATCATCAGCTCTGTTATAATCCCTCAATAATCAACCTAACAATAATTGGCTACTACAGTATCAAACTGACTTTAGTGTCGACGTAGTTTTTGAGAATGTTGCCCATTTCATTCTGAGAAAAATCAATACACTTTGAAAGTGGACACAACACTGTTATTCATTGGCTTTTTAGAATGCCCCCTATTATAAATATAAAGCTATAACCAAGCAATATACCAACCAAGTAATAGATGCTATTATTTATGCTCAGGACTCGCAACCCTTTTCTTCCCTTTTTTTGGTTATCCCTAACGTGTACTTTCTGTGTATAAACATCTAAGTGCGCCCCTATGTACTTGGTGATATAGTGATGAACAAAATTCAACTCACCCCTCTAGCGGGTTGACGGCGATTGCTCTAGGCTCCTCCAGTCGGTCTGTGATGAGAACTCTCCTCATGCTTCCCTCAAAGTTGGCCAACTCTATGGTGTTCTTGCCAGAGTCTGTCCAGTAGATATGGTTGTAGATCCAGTCCACAGCTAGCCCGTCAGCTGTTGTCATCTCTCCACGAATCACAACGGTTCTGTCACTACCTTCATCTATTGGAGCTCTGGGGAAAATTTAAAATATTTTAAAAAATATTTGATTAGTCGGGAATTTCATACAATTACATGTAAGTATGACAAAATACGAGTTTTACCATTGAATATTAGTCAAAAGTTTTACTTTTTTTTACTGTTCAAACTAAAATTACCAAGTACCTATTCGTTTACTTTCTGACATTTTAAAACAATTAATTTATCTTGAACTATGCAAAATCTCCCTAAACTAGAGGTGTATTTTATTTTATTGAATGAAAAACATGTGAGTATTGCATAAGATTAAACTATATTGAAAAAAAGAAGTTTTAACGACTGTTACTGTAATTAAACTCTTTTACTTAGAGGTGAATGTCATCTAAACATTTAAAATATTATAGAAATAATGAAAATGGATACGGTTTAATATTTTCATGGAGACTAATGTTAGTAACATTTAATTTTTATGCTACATACGTAACCATTTATCAACATATTTTTAACAAGTTACAGAAAATAGTACCTATGAGCACCATTCTAAAAAAACTGTAATATATGAAAACTAGAATTTTGTAGACTGTATACTCACTATATTAATGCATCATGACTTGATTTGAAAAGATTAGATCTTTATTTCTTAGTGGGTTCTGAATGTACAATACTTTTTAAAATACTGATAATTATTAATTATTCTTGTGCAAGTGGGAAAATAAGAAGGTTTACTCGGCCAAAGAATAAACACTCATCAAAGACGTTTGAAGGATGATTAAACCAGAGATAACGTAGAAGTATATATCTTAAACATGTTTAGCCTCTGGATCACGTAATATTCTAATAAAAAGGTTAAATACCTGTAGTACTGTCTGTGATCCTGGAATTTAGGTCAGCGACCCAGGTTTCGAACCTAAAGGCTCATTTTCAAGCTGGTTACCAGAGTTAAAAACACATAATCCTCTTCATAACTGTGGAGAGTCGTTATAACACACAAGACACGAACACGAAAACAATAAACATTAAACAAAATTGGCCAATTATAATACTGGTACGGTAGCGTGCGTGGTGTAGCCGGCAAAAGATGAGTCATGACTGGGCACGCGTACGCGTCGATGTCGGAGCGTGACGTATGTGCCCCCTCCCACTCCCGTTGTCTTTGTCAGATCCTCGCCTTACACTGACACTGCCATCAATCATATCTATTGCAGTATTGTAAATTAAATTTGACTCGAAGGATAATTTTTCATTGAGCAGATGGGTAGGACTGTTTTTAGATGATCGGTATATTTCAAACTCTTCGATGGTGTTCATATGCTTGCCTTTTCTGCAGTAATGTAATATGTCCAGATTGGTATCTATGTCGGTGTAATTATAGTTTGTGTCAATCAGATGGTTTGCGAATGCAGATTTGGTAGATTTTTTAGGCAGGTGTTCTTTGAATCTTTGCGTAAACGAACGAGCTGTTTGTCCAATGTAGTAGCTGGGACAGTCATTGTATTTAATTTTATAAATTCCTGTCTTATCAAAATTAGCAGTGTTTTGTACAATTCGTGGTTTTAGGAGATAAGATAATTTATTTGACGTTTTAAATGACATTTTAAAATTGTTCTTAGTCATTTCAGATTTAAGGCTATTGTTCAATACTGTGCCATATGCCATTTTCAGTGGAAACGTATTTCTGCATATCTTTTGACACCTTAGGCCTACTTTCATTTTTATGTTTAATTACTATCTTGTCTATGATGGAACTTTTATATCCATTAGATACAGCTATGTATTTTATGATGTTAAGTTCCTCGTTATAACTATCTTCATTAAGAGGTAGAGAAATAAGTCGGTGAACAAAGCTATTGTATGCAGCCATTTTATGACTGTACGGGTGATGAGATGAAGAATGGATCGTTTGGTCAGTTGTGGTTGGTTTCCTGTAAATATTGAAAGTGAAATTGTTGGGATGTTTGGTTATTGTTACGTCCAAGAAATTAAGCTTGTTGTTGTTCTCTTCCTCTAAAGTAAACTTTAAATTCTTATGGATGGAATTGAGATATGAGTTGAGGATATTAAGCTGTCTTATGTTACCATTAAAGAGAAGGAACGTGTCATCGACGTAGCGGCAATAGAATATTATCTTATCTTTCTGGCGGTTCTTATCAGACCATAGGTGTTCTACTTCGATTTTGTTTAAATGTAGCTCAGTTAGTACACTGGACAAAGGAGATCCCATGGCCATGCCTTCGTTCTGGATGTAATATTCATTATCAAACATAAAATAGTTCTGTTTTAATACTGCTTCGGTTAAGATTAACAATTCTTCTTTAGCGTGATCTGATAATGTGGAGTTTTTATCAAGATTATTCCTTAGAATATTTATTGTTTCGTTGATTGGAACATTAGTGAACAAGTTAACAATGTCAAATGAGGCCATGTTGTATCGTGGGTTGTAATTGATTTTTGATAACTTGTCGACCAACTCTAAGGTGTTTTTAATGGAATGGCTATTCTCTAAGTTAGTTTCTCTACGAATAATTTTGTCGAGAGTCTTAGCTATTTTATAAGCGGGCGAAGGGGTGAAGTTAACTAAAGGCCTGATCGGGATATTAGTCTTGTGGATCTTCGGCAAACCACGTAAAATTGGTGATTGTGGTTTTGTAACTTTTAAGTATTTAATTTCGTCTCAGTTAAAAGGTTGGTGCTGAGTGAAATAATTTTGTTTATGTCCTTTGAAAACGAGGAAGTTGGGTCATGGCTTAAAAGTTCAATGTTGTTATCGTTAATGAAGTTGTGGACTTTGTTGACATAATCATCCTTGTTTAAGATAACAATACAATTCCCCTTATCTGCTTTGGTGATAACTGCGTTGTTTTCTTGTAGTTTATTTTTGATTGAAGTAGCCGTAAATGACAAGTTCTTATATTTTGCGGCATATTTATTTCTTGGAACAGGGTTTTTTAAAACATTCTTAATTTTATTTGAAATGAGAACTCGTGAGATGTCACGGGCCTCAGTGGATTCAAGGTGTTTTATTGTTGTTTCGGCATTAAGGAGCTCAGTTATTAAACTATTTTTCCTGCTGTCTGGGAAGTTAAAATTCAAGCCTTTGTTTAGTAGGCTCATTCCTGAATCATCGAAACTGATGTTGGTATTGTTTACGACTCTAGGATAAAATTTATGGTTGCATTGTATAATTTCTGTCTGTATCTGGGCTGAAATAAGTGCATCTATTTTCTTGGCTTGAGTTTTCTTTTTAGCTTGTACCTGTCTGTTAATTTGCGCATCTAAATGATTACAAACAGTTAGCTGGATTGATGGATGTTTTTAATCATTTAGATGCGCAAAACAAAGGCTTGATTTTTAACTTCCCAGACAGCAGGAAAAATAGTTTAATAACTGAGCTCCTTAATGCCGAAACAACAATAAAACACCTTGAATCCACTGAGGCCCGTGACATCTCACGAGTTCTCATTTCAAATAAAATTAAGAATGTTTTAAAAAACCCTGTTCCAAGAAATAAATATGCCGCAAAATATAAGAACTTGTCATTTACGGCTACTTCAATCAAAAATAAACTACAAGAAAACAACGCAGTTATCACCAAAGCAGATAAGGGGAATTGTATTGTGATCTTAAACAAGGATGATTATGTCAACAAAGTCCACAACTTCATTAACGATAACAACATTGAACTTTTAAGCCATGACCCAACTTCCTCGTTTTCAAAGGACATAAACAAAATTATTTCACTCAGCACCAACCTTTTAACTGCAGACGAAATTAAATACTTAAAAGTTACAAAACCACAAGCACCAATTTTACGTGGTTTGCCGAAGATCCACAAGACTAATATCTCGATCAGGCCTTTAGTTAACTTCACCCCTTCGCCCGCTTATAAAATAGCTAAGACTCTCGACAAAATTATTCGTAGAGAAACTAAGTTAGAGAATAGCCATTCCATTAAAAACACCTTAGAGTTGGTCGACAAGTTATCAAAAATCAATTACAACCCACGATACAACATGGCCTCATTTGACATTGTTAACTTGTTCACTAATGTTCCAATCAACGAAACAATAAATATTCTAAGGAATAATCTTGATAAAAACTCCACATTATCAGATCACGCTAAGGAAGAATTGTTAATCTTAACCGAAGCAGTATTAAAACAGAACTATTTTATGTTTGATAATGAATATTACATCCAGAACGAAGGCATGGCCATGGGATCTCCTTTGTCCAGTGTACTAACTGAGCTACATTTAAACAAAATCGAAGTAGAACACCTATGGTCTGATAAGAACCGCCAGAAAGATAAGATAATATTCTATTGCCGCTACGTCGATGACACGTTCCTTCTCTTTAATGGTAACATAAGACAGCTTAATATCCTCAACTCATATCTCAATTCCATCCATAAGAATTTAAAGTTTACTTTAGAGGAAGAGAACAACAACAAGCTTAATTTCTTGGACGTAACAATAACTAAACATCCCAACAATTTCACTTTCAATATTTACAGGAAACCAACCACAACTGACCAAACGATCCATTCTTCATCTCATCACCCGTACAGTCATAAAATGGCTGCATACAATAGCTTTGTTCACCGACTTATTTCTCTACCTCTTAATGAAGATAGTTATAACGAGGAACTTAACATCATAAAATACATAGCTGTATCTAATGGATATAAAAGTTCCATCATAGACAAGATAGTAATTAAACATAAAAATGAAAGTAGGCCTAAGGTGTCAAAAGATATGCAGAAATACGTTTCCACTGAAAATGGCATATGGCACAGTATTGAACAATAGCCTTAAATCTGAAATGACTAAGAACAATTTTAAAATGTCATTTAAAACGTCAAATAAATTATCTTATCTCCTAAAACCACGAATTGTACAAAACACTGCTAATTTTGATAAGACAGGAATTTATAAAATTAAATGCAATGACTGTCCCAGCTACTACATTGGACAAACAGCTCGTTCGTTTACGCAAAGATTCAAAGAACACCTGCCTAAAAAATCTACCAAATCTGCATTCGCAAACCATCTGATTGACACAAACTATAATTACACCGACATAGATACCAATCTGGACATATTACATTACTGCAGAAAAGGCAAGCATATGAACACCATCGAAGAGTTTGAAATATACCGATCATCTAAAAACAGTCCTACCCATCTGCTCAATGAAAAATTATCCTTCGAGTCAAATTTAATTTACAATACTGCAATAGATATGATTGATGGCAGTGTCAGTGTAAGGCGAGGATCTGACAAAGACAACGGGAGTGGGAGGGGGCACATACGTCACGCTCCGACATCGACGCGTACGCGTGCCCAGTCATGACTCATCTTTTGCCGGCTACACCACGCACGCTACCGTACCAGTATTATAATTGGCCAATTTTGTTTAATGTTTAATGTTTTCGTGTTCGTGTCTTGTGTGTTATAACGACTCTTCACAGTTATGAAGAGGATTATGTGTTTTTAACTCTGGTAACCAGCTTGAAAATGAACCTTTAGGTTCGAAACCTGGGTCGCTGACCTAAATTCCAGGATCACAGACAGTACTACAGGTATTTAACCTTTTTATTAGTATATATCTTATATGAACAAAAACATGCACTTATTCATCTACAATGTTGTGTTACTCTCATGAATTACAGGGATCTTACTTGAATATTTTCTGATCAGCCACATCGGTCCAGAAAATCATTCCAGTTCGGAAAACAAAGTCCAAAGCGGTCGCGGACTTGGTGTCGTTTACAATAGCAGTCATCTCGTGGTGGTCCAAAGAGATTTTACGGATATCATGGCGTCTTGCAAACAATAAAGATGCGTGACCTGTATGAATAAAGCTATAATTAGTTAAAATATTTATACGAGTTCTGAAAACAAATTAAATTATGTTCTAGATATGAAGATGTTTTTTCTTGAGGAAATGTTGATTTGCTGTTAATATTTTCTCTGTTTTTCGTGGAATATTACTTTAAATATGATTTCCGCCTTCATCGAGGTTAGTCATTGTAATTAAATACATTCTAAATCTCAAAAGTCTGTATGACATTAAAACGGATTTACTTTGAGGAAGTACATTACCTTCCAGTTATGAATTACTTATAATGCACCTCGAATTACCACATGTTTAATTTACTCTTATATAATTTTCCGTTAATGTTGAATCTTTTAAAATAAATTATTATTCTTAATTTCTTAATTGATTCCCATTAAAACTAGTCCGTTGGTCATCCTTAATTTTCTTTTTATACGTTGTAAATAACTGACTTAAGACTTTATAATCTTTTCTTGATAAATACGAATTGAAATAAAATTGGTAAAGAAAAAAAACAATCTTGTGATTTAAAAAAGACCAAGTTGACTGAAACTGTAAATCAATAATAGCCGCATACATTACTAATTAGTTGTGATAATAACAAAGCATTTGCCTTTCTGAGCTGCTATTCCTAATCAAACTTTACGTTTAGTATAAGGTTATAGTCTGATTTTATGGTAATTAGGATGAGCTGTATAACCATTATGACTTTGGTATTTGAAAACAATATATATATACAATTTAAAGGTGTAGGCTTCACAATGAAATAGAACCTTTGTATTTGAAGAGGTTAGTAATGACCATGAGCATTTCAATTATATTATTATACTGAATTGAGTATAATAGATATTTGTTAAATAGTATTCAAACAATTCCTAATTAGATTAATTTTTTCGGTTTTGGAAAAACATTTTATTTGTTTAGGTCCTCCTAGATCAGATCTTCCTAGTCACATTGTCATTGAAAAATGTACCTTACGTTAGAAAATTTAATAGTGATAGGAGAAATGGAAGAATAAATATTTTTTTCTTGTTAAGGGCGGCATTCTAGGATAATTTCAATAGCTGCTAAAGTGTTTTTAATCGTAAAAATATTTTTTTTTGATACCAAAGAGATTGTCATTTAAATATCTAGTAAACTGTGGAATTTGAAATGTTCTATGTAGTTTGAATTGTTCTATGTAGTTTTGAATTGTTCTCCAAGGGCGTCCATGGAAACTAACGGCCATCTTTGATTTGCTCGCCAAGTTAATTACGTTATTTTCAAACAGCTGCTGAAGTTGTACTTACCATCTCAAAATAATATTTTAAATACCAAGGTGATTGTAATTATAAAATCTAGTTAACTGTGGGATTAAAAATGTATTTACAATTTTCTATGTATTTTTTAAATAGTTTTACGAGTTAGAACGTCTAGGCTCCAAGGACTCTTTAGCGAATATTTATCAAAGTATACTAAGATATCGAAATTTTGTTTCTGATAGCTAAAATAAAGTTTTATTTGAAAGACTAACCTTCAGTTGCCTTACACCTCGTCCTGTCATGAGGGTCCCGAAGATATCCGTCTTCACATTCACATTTGAATGTGCCTTTCTCGTTGTAGCAGATTTGAGAGCACGCGCCAGGATTCTCACATTCATCAATATCTGAAAATGTTAGACATGGATAAAACAGCTAAGCTTGTGGTGTTATTGTGTTTCTAACAAGCTTACCTTATTGTTAGGAACTACTGCTTTTTTCTGTAGAATCTCACGCAGCCAGTTCGTGACCTTTCCCAGATGTGGGTAAAATAGGGTTTTGGATCTAGGTTTTTTGGTAAGCTTACCTTGAGCTTTTGGTAGTTGATATTGAGGTTGATTGAGATTTTCTGGGTTGAATAGATGAGTGAGTTATAACAAATAAGATGAATAAAATTTTAATCTAGTTCTTAGGTAGTCCCTAGTTAACTGTTACCTAGTCTATCAAAAACTTTTTTGTAGCTAACTTATTTGTTACTGTATATAGTTCTGTTTTCAAATGATTTTTAAATAATTTCTTTTCTTTTCATCACTGTCATACTAAGTGTAAGTTATTTCTGTGCTATTTCTGCTTGTCTTATTATGAAATAAGTCAATTAGGCCGAGCCTAGTTTATTTCTTTATTGGGCTAAATCAGTAAAATTAGATTTTGTACTTTGAGGTTTTTTAATGGCTGTGTTTCAACCATTTAGTAACTTAATCTGAGGTCCTTTTGATGCATTTTTCATTGTTGGCGAGGTATATTGTAACTTTGTTATTTAATGACCAATAAATATAAGACCGGGGGGGGGGGGGGTTTGTTGAAGTAAGTTTGGAAAAAATACCGCAGCATCTTATAGGTTCGGCACAATCGAAGTACTTCTGGTTGAGGTTGTTAAGGAAGGGCTATTATGAATGGGGAATCGTAAGCATCTCTGTTTCTGGTCCAGTGAATAAGGTGGGATGCTAACCACAATGCACACCTAGGCTGGAGATGTGGTGTTCGGTCCTGTCATTAGGAGTGGCTGGACGTCAATGATGGCAGGACGTATCACAGAGGAATATAGTCTTGAAAGAGTTAGGTCTCTTGAATATAAGTCTTTAAAGTAGAATTAGGTCTTCAACGGTCATTGAAAATTTGGAGGGTACGTTGGGTGGTGGCTTGTTTATATCAATCTTAGACGTACAACAAAATTTTTAAGTTGGATTTTTTGACTGACAGTATGTTAGGTGTTTTAGGGTTCCATCATCTTACCTTCACAACTCCGCCCGTCGTCCACCAGCTTGTACCCCGGTCTGCAGTCACAATGGAAGCTGACCAGCGTGTCGACACAGATGTGGGAGCAGTTGCCGTTGTGGACCAGACACTCGTTGACGTCACATTTGCCCTCAGGTTCGTCTTCGCCTTCAGGACAGTCGGCCTTGCCGTTACACACGAAGCTGAGAGAGATACAGGTGCCACCGCCACAGTCGAACTGGTTCTCCTCACAGTGGAACGCCCTCTCTGAAAGGTGAAATTAGATTACTAATCGTTTGTCAAACCAAATCCCTTTTAATAAATTATCAACTTTTGGATCAGCTTAACACCTTTACTAGAAAAGGTTTGAAGTATATTTCCCTCCAGTAAATATGGAAAGCATGTGAAAACTCTTTTTTGTACGTTGAAGTTTAAGGCTAATCATTTGTGGGAAACATTACCTTTAAGATTTGACAGCCTTTAACATTCTTCCTGTTAAATATATCAGGGAGGATGTAGAGATCGACCAATACAAGATAAATTTTGATGAGGATTTTAAATCCTTTTGGACCGGTTGCAGGCTTAAGCTTAATTATTTTAAGGGGTTTTGAAGTCCGGTAAGCAGGAGAGATTGTGGAAAACACATCCTCTGCAAGGTAAAGTTTCAAACAGACGTATGTGACTACAATCTTTTGCGAAAAAAATTATCAGCAAATGTACCATTGGTTTAGATAAGCAGCAGACTTGTACACAAATTATCTTTGTAATGCATCTATCTTTTGTATACATGATAGCAGATGGTTCAGCGGATTTTTTCTTTGAAGTTTCTTTCAGTCAAATATTCAACAAAGTAGCTATTTTATATCTCCATAGCTTTTAAACAATCCTAATCGTAAAAAAAGCTGTCCTATTTATAAGTAAAAATCTAGCCTACATAATAGTAATTTACCTAGAAGAAGTAACATAGATTCAGTCAACATGAAGACCCTAAAATGTTACCGGCATTACAAAAAATTGAGATTTAACATTAGGATGAAAATTCCATTTGGTACCCGAAATCTCAATCTAAGTTAGAATTCTTAAACTTAAAAACAATGTTTGCAAAGTATGCGATTTGCAGAAAATGGTTAAGAGTTTGTGAATTAGATTCCACTCGTTTAGGATTAGAAGACAATTCTTTGGTAGTATAATTGTAACTGAAAATACATTTCAAAATGTCAAATTAAAAAAAATATCCCTATGATATAAGATAATACGTTTTTATTCCTGTTAATAACGCGAAATAACATTGTGAGCCATCTTTTACAAAGTCGAACCCAATCATCAAAACGACTTGGCTTGGGAAAAAAGTAACAACAAATTTTGTGTGTTGTGAAATTATTAAAAAATCTAATATCAGCCTACATATAACAAGGCATCCTAATCTATGAGAAATCACCCGCTATACTAGTAAATAGAGTAGTGGAGGTAGTGGTTAATTTGTTTGATGATTTTTTTAACGGAGTAATAACTAATTTTGTATTTAAAAATATTGGTTGTTTCTAATTTATTTTTTAAGTTTTTAAAGTCAAGTGGTTATCGCTATACAGACTACACAATCAACTTACTGCAGTCCTCCTCATCGCTGCCGTCAGAACACTCAGCCAGACCGTTGCAATGCAGATGTCCAGGGATGCACCCCTTGTTATGACACTGGAACTGGTCCGGACGGCAAGTGACGTTCTTGCACACGTCCGGAGACTCGTCCGCGCCGTCCGGACAGTCGTAGTCTCCGTCGCACACCCAAGCTTGATGTATACACGTCAGACGGTCCGGACAGGCAAACTCGCGAGATAGACACACTGATGTGCGGTGTGGCTTTTCTGTGCAGTTCTATAAAAAAAGTTGCAGTTTAAGTTTTTACTCCTGATTCTTAATGTATATAACTTCTTATCAATGAATATCTATATATATATTTCAAGATCAAGATATTTATAAATATCTTGTCAATAAGCTTACCTCGGCTAATGCACAATGCGCTTCAGCATTTTTTATATTTACAAGTGATGTATTTGTGTGAGAGATAACTAAACGTCTTGAAGTGAAAGCGGTTCGGAACTGTGCAAGTACCTGATCCAACCAGATACCGTCATATTTAACGTCAAGACGCTAATTTTAGGCAGAGTAGCACGGCGGAATAATACCGGGTGTCCAAAACCACCCGTACACCCCTGTAAAATCGAGGAAAACCTTTTCTTACAAACAAAAAATAATACAGAACTAGCTATATTGGGCACGGTCTACCAAATGGTGATGATTTTAAATCCAAAAGCACACCGGAAATAGCTGTTCCAGACCGGAAGTCGACTTTTTTAAATGTAAACTACCAATTTTGATCACAGATTCGGATTCTACGTTAAAAAATACATGACTTTTGTCTAAAACATTTTTAGAAAAAACTTATTTTCTTCATCTAATTCCCTATTAAAGTCAATCATTATGTCATTCATCTGCCATAGTTACTTGAAACCCCAATAGAGAAAAAAAATAACAAAGATTACATGAAGACATCTGATAAACATAGAAATCAGCTGTTTATTGTAAACACTTTAATAATTGAGTAACAGCTGTATAATTTTATAATTTTATTTTTTCTATAATTTGTTTTTAAATGTAAGTGGTCGACACATGCTAAATCTATTTCGCATGACAAAAACTGCTAGACGACATTTGATTTATTATTAATTAAAAATTCGTCTGTCCTCGCTTTTTAACTTTTATGGAATGTGGCCAAAATATAACTCTAATTATTAAAATAGTTATAATTTTAAAATGTTCCGACAGATGCTCTTAAATAATATTATTGTTTGTTACAAGTTTCATAATAAATTATCTAATCTATTTAGTATAAAATATCATAAAAATCTGAACTTAAAACCATTGGTTGTAATAGATTAACTTTATTTACAGGTTTTATGTACAATATCAACTAGGTTTATTTACTAGTTGAGCCTGCCGATCCTCAGTGTTCAACGTAGCCACCGCCTCGCCGAATGCACGTTTGTACTCTGTTTTGAAAATCGTCGACCGCCCGACGAATTTCTGTACCTTCAAGCGATCGAATGTCATCTCTTATCCTTTGGACCATGTTTTCTCTTGTAGTCGGGCGTTCCTGGTAAACCATGTCTTTCAATCTTCCCCATAAATAATAATCTAGGACTGTCAAATCCGGCGAACGTGGTGGGAAGTTGACAGGCCCATACATTCCTATCCACCTGTTGGGAAACACTCTGTGTAGTTTTTTCTCGGCTTATAACAGCTGTGTGGGCTGGACTGCCATCCTGCTGAAACCACATATTGAGGCGCAGATCAAGAGAGATATCTTCCAGCAAAATCGGCAATTCTCTCTCCAAGAGTTCTACATACCGATGACGATTAAGATTTCCCTAAAAAATAATGGGGCCTATGATTTTGTCGTCGACAATGCCACACCATAGGTTTATTTTCTAAATAACTTGGTGATCTATAGGTCTCAACCAGTGTGGGTTTTGCTGTGACCAGAAGCGACAGTTCTGCGTGTTTGCGGATCCATCACTCTTAGATGTGCATTCGTCCGACCACAGTACTCTTCTGTGAAAAAGATCTGGCTGACGTCGGAACCAGTTGCAGGACGCAAGACGTTGCCCGATATCATTATTGTCTATTTCCTGGACCAAAATCATTTTGTAGGGATGGAACTTATTGTCTTTAAGGATGTTACAAATCGTTGCACGACCTACTCCAGATTCTCGTTCGTGCCGTCTAATGGAATCATGGGGCTGAATAAGTACGGATGCTATAATATCTGCAGAATTCTCATCCCTAACCCGTCTATGAATTTTCTTAACCTTGTTGTGGTGAGGTTGAACAATGCCTTCTGTCTGGATTCGTCTTGAGAGTCTTGCGAATACATGCCGAGAATGAGGGAACCGATCAGGAAAACGTTGTCGCCAGAGTGTAGCTGCACCTTTAAATGACCCAGCTTCAAACAGAACTTGCTGCATTTCATAACCCTCCTCATTAGTGTAGCCCATTTACACTTTTAAAACAACACTGCCATACAAAACAATAAAAATAAACTGAAAAAAATCCGAGAAAATAGATAAGGAAAAAATAATTAATAACAACAAGGTAACGGAACACAATGTTTTCAAAAATCTAAACATAAAAAAATAATAATTCAACAATGCATAGAGCAGCTGTTACAATGCTTTTACATTGCAACATCAGTTTATTCAATTACTAGTGTTTACAATAAACAGCTGATTCTATTTATCAGATGTCTTCATGTAATCTTTGTTATTTTTTTTCTCTATTGGGGTTTCAAGTAACTATGGCAGATGAATGACATAATGATTGACTTTAATAGGGAATTAGATGAAGAAAATAAGTTTTTTCTAAAAATGTTTTAGACAAAAGTCATGTATTTTTTAACGTAGATTCCGAATCTGTGATCAAAATTGGTAGTTTACATTTAAAAAAGTCGACTTCCGGTCTGAAACAGCCATTTCCGGTGTTATTTTGGATTTGAAATTATCACCATTTGGTAGACCGTGCCCAATATAGCTAGTTCTGTATTATTTTTTGTTTGTAAGAAAAGGTTTTCCTCGATTTTACAGGGGTGTACGGGTGGTTTTGGACACCCGGTATAAAATGGTAAATATTGTGTTGATAATAACTTACTGAACGAGAACCTTTGTAAATATACTACATGTAGTTTTTTTGAAAACAAAAAATTTGAACTCATTACAGAGATGTTGTAATAATAGTAGTCCATGTAGTCTAGCACTACAGTAAATTGCAATCGATTACATAATACGATAATACCTATATATACGAGTATTTTTTAATTTGATATTTTTTATTAAATCATTCACTGGGTGTGTATCTTTATCTTATGCCAATGCCGTTATTTGTATTCTATAAATAGTGTATTGTCCTTTAAAAAAAATATTGAGCTTTTGTTGCATTTTTACTTTTTTCTTAGTCCCTGAAATTTTTTTTTAGACGTTAAATATTTGCCCCTCTCCATTTCCAACCGTTCCTTCAGACTCCTATTTTAAGACAGTATTATTTTGAGAGAACTGCCCATTTGACAGTCCTCCATCGTCTTCTAATATTCTCCCCTTTAGTGAATTTCACATATTGGTGAGACCCAGTACCAATTTACTTTTTCGTTTTGAGGTTTCCTGAGGCAAAAAACACCATCCGCCTCAAATTATTATATTTTTATCCAGAGTGAATCTCATAGGTGACCAATAGTGATGTAAGACAACCCGTTGCGTTGTTTCTAAAATGGTTTGATTAAACATTGTCCACTAAACCAATCCTAACGAATAACGTAAAAACATATATATATATATTTTTTCAAACACAGGGCGTTCCAAATACAATATATTATTTTAGCACTTTAATGCAAACATTGCTGTGCGAGTGGAGTTTGGCTGTTTTCATTTGTGGCTCTTTATTTGGAAAAAACCATTTTGCCCTACCCTATATTTTTTTTTGAAAATGCAAATACCTCTATTCTGAATAAAATGTCATTAAAATTGTGTAATATGAAATATTACAATAATATGACAAAAGCAAACACGCTGAACATTTCTATTCACCAATCGAGACTCTTACCTTTTCATCAGATTCGTCTGGGCAGTCGTAGTCCCCGTCGCAGCGCCACCTCGCGTTGATGCAGTAGCTGTTGTTGCCCAGAGCACAGGCGAACTCCGTGTCTGGCGAGCAAGTCTTGGGGGGACAGTTAAGCTCGTCCGAGCGATCGCCACAATCGTCGTCGTGATCGCACACCCATCTCTGCTGCACACACTTGCCGTTTGCACACGTAAACTCGTCCGTGCGACATGTCTCGTCTGCGATGACAATTGTACGATTATTTACCATTGCTTTGAGGATAGTAAGGTAGAAATTCAATCTTTACAGCATACCATATCATTGAAAAATGCACTACTAGCATTTGGAATTAGTATTAGTAGCTATAAGTAGTGTTGGTGTTTAAAATTTAGTTTACTTATAGATTAGACTATGCTCTGGCTCAAATATGTCTATTAGCCTGTTAAATTTCTTAATCAAACGTAAAAAATCTGTTCAACAAGATCGAGGAAAATTTTATTTTTAACGGTACGATTACAATAAGGTGTATTTATTTACGATTGTATAGAATATGTCACATTTATCGGATACATCCTTATAATATTATCTAAATATGAATTTATGCATGGATAATATAAATCAAATATTTTTTAACAGACTAGTTGAGTAAACCATCTTTCATAAACCTAAGTTCATACAGAACATGTAAGAATTTGAAAAAAACAACAGTTGCAAAAGATTAAAATATAGAAAACAATAGAGAAACATACTTATACTGTATAATAACTGGTTATAGTTAAAACTTAATAATATTAGTGTTAGCACCAATTGAATAGGTCAGATTAATTTTATAGTTGCAATTAGTCCCTTATTAGAATATACAACATATTTCATTCGCTAAGTGATACGTGCAGTTAAACCATAACATGCAATAATGGTTAAAACAAACTTATACTTTCATTGCCATTATAACATAGGAATTGGGGGAGGAAGAAAAAAAAGAATGTTTACAGTTTTAAATTTCACTTATAACAAATCCAAAACACATAAAACCTGAATTTCTTCGAAGGCTAAATGACCCGTAAATAACTGCTATGATGAATTGTTATTGACGCAAAAAATCCGTCTATATAAATGTTATAAAATTGACTTTTACAAGAGCATCACTTAATATTGTTATTCCAATAGTTAAAATTGCAACAACACATTTTATACTAAGACTTTATGGCCTATTACGTAAAAATTGCATACATTCAATAATATACATCGTTCTGAGCCTTAACGTTTTGACAAAAAATAGGTCAACAAGTCTTGTGTCAATGACCTCTAACCTCCACGATAAACTTTGTGATAAAAGACTAAATTTGTAAACGTATAACTGCTTGACAATATATCTGGTACATGTTTTATATAAATATATAGTGGGTTGGAGGAGAGCTTTAATTTATGCTAATACCTAAATCTACTTGTTATTGATGAGGGTAAGGGTAATTGGCACAGTTCAGAAATAATCCCCAAGCAAAATCTTCTGCTGCTATAAAAATATATGTATTTATTACGATTTAAATAGTTGTACCTATCTCTACTAACTGCATGAATTATTCTCACTAAGTCTTATTCGGTATCCTTTTGAAAGATAATCGAACGGCTTTAAAAAGCAAGATTGTACCCGAAAAGGCTAGGGCTGCCGTCAATCTAAGAAATTAAACTTATCAACTTTTGGGGTTTTTTGCTTTAGTGATAATGCCTGAGAAATAAGAAATAAAAAAGAACGTACAATCACACAAATCACTCTATCAGGCAATAAATTATCTTACTGCAGGCTTTTTCATCGGAACCGTCTGCACAGTCAGCATTATCATCACACATCCAAGTCAGGGGAACACATTCTCCTATAGAATCCCGACATGTGAACTCCTCTGGCCCACATACACGGTGTTCTAAAACACAGGGAAAGGTACATTAGATAATAGGAAGAGGAACACACTATCCCATTCATTAGTCAGACGCATGCGTTAATATTCACCTCCCAAAGTTGATTGAGTAATTAGTCCTGTAACGTTTAAATACTCCCTGGAAATAATGCTGGTTATTCCTGAAAACTGATGACTAGAACAAACATTTTACTATTATGATTTTTACACTAAATGCCACAAAGTTTAAGTTTAAACAACGTCGAATTAATAGATGAGGGTTCTGGATCACCAAGTGTGATGTACACTATTTTCTGGAACAAAAAGTATCATGTAAAATTTAACAAAGGCAAATGTGTTAAATATTACGTATAGGTATTTCAGACCTCGATGGTCAGAATAAACTGTAAAATGTAGGTACATAAGTCAACAAAAACAAAGAGCTTTTATAATTCGCGATATAGCTTTTTAACTCCATTGCTTACACATAGAGCAGTGTATATATAAATCATTCTTAATAGTTATTTTTGCATCTATAGAAAGTACACATTATAAAAGTTCAGCTACTCCCACCATAAATATATTTTAAATTTAAATTTGCACCAAATCACAACGAAAATGCATTAGGAATATTTTCGCAATGCAAATCATTGAATAATAAGCCACTAATAGAATATTTACAAGATCTCCGTGAGTTCAACCAAAGATGCACTTAGCTTAGCCGGGAATATTGAATGTTTAGCATAACAAACAGAAATGTGCCTTTGTGAAGGGTTTCCGAATTAATTACCTAAGGCGAAGTGGTTGGCGTTGAACAAAGACAAGATTCAAACTTGTTGAATCTCTTAGCTTTGAAATGTTCTTGTTTTAGCAGCCCCCGGTGATGGAACAGTTGAGATGTTTGTTGTAAATGCATTCTGAGATTTACTTTAAATGCGTATTTATCTTTTAATTGTGTTACTAAAAAATGAAACAAAAGATTACATATTTCAAAATAAGTTTTGTAAATGAGGAATTTAATTTAGGTTCTTAGACCTAAATTAAGGTCCAAGCAAGAGCCCTGCAAAACTAGGAACCATCAAAACTCAAATCCTAATTACTATTAGGATTTGAGTTTATATAGTTTCTAGTTTTTGCTTTATAAAAGTGTATTTTCATATGATCGTTTATTATACAGTCAAACTATATCAATAAAACTAGATTTACTGGGGTTTTTACGGTGGGATATGAAAGAAACATAAAAAATAAGCCCTTTTACAGCTGATAAAAAAGTTGATCGCATTACCAATGATAACAAAACGTTGCCTATATCCGTAATCACTACCACTTACTTCTACAAAATAATCTACTTCCTATGAGCTACTATAAAAATTTAAAAGTAATTGAAAACAAAACAGTTACTCTTCCCATAGTCATTGAGATCAATATACAAAATTTAGAGGACTTATCGAAGCAATTTTTTCACCCATCCAAAACACACAAACGCCTGTCGCAGCTGCAATCCCACGCAAAGCTAAAGGGACAAATTCCTGTAACAGTTACAGGGTCCTGTTCGCCCACAAAATCACAAAACAAACACAATTTATCACCTGAAATTCGGTTGATCACAGTTAGGGTCTAGAATAAATTAGTCTTAGAGCCTTAAGGAAATCGTACTTTAGGTTTCGACGATTCATGAACCATGTTAGTTTCTTTTTTGGAAAGCCATTGCTAATTATCAAAATGGCACATTCAGATTTAAACCACTATACCATAGATAGCTAGGAAACCTGTAAAACGCAATCCTACTCGCAGCCCTCTGTTGGTTTTCGCAATCCTAAATTCTACAGGGAAAATCGAAAACTGGTTATACATATTATATTATATTATTTTGGTTACACAACTCCAAAATTCATTCCAAACCAGAACGGACGTAGACATTGGACTTGGACAAACAGACAATCGTTCCCTGAAGATTCCACCAGGATGCATGACATTTCCCTCTGACTGAAAAATACTTACATTCACAAGACTTTTCATCTTTCCAATCAACACAGTCTGCATGACCATCGCATACCCAGTCCCTGGGAATACATTCTCCGTTGCCGCACGTGAAGAACCCAGGTTTACATTCAATTGAACCTATAGCACTCAATAGTTAGTAAAATAACAGACAAGTACAACAAATAAATACATATTACGTAAGAAAATAAATACATATAAATGTTGTAAATACAAGATTGACGATTTAAGATTATTTAAACATAAATTAGACTTTCCATTAATTTTAAAATTGGTAGATTGTAATCTTATGAAAACCTTCTAAACACAGATTGAATCGAAAATAAATCACTAAAAGGTATTTTACATTCAATTGCTACGATAAAATTTAAGCAAGCTTTTGACGTTGTGCAAATACATTATATTTATTGAAGTTTGCCTCCTTTCAACAGTTATAAAGAACTTGAAAGGGGCGAGTTTGGAATGTAATTCAATTCCGAGTAAGTTGTGAGAAGATTGCACCAGTAAATACAGTTTATTAAATTTAGTTGAAAGTGCTGTGGATGCAAATACAATTCTAAGTAACTACTCGTATAATTGGGTTATTGAGTTCAGATTACAGTAATATTTCATTACCGAATGAAATAATTAAAATTGGTATTTATGACTAAGCGTCTTTTCTGAGAGTATTAAGTTAAGAATCATAACGGAACATTGTACATACGAATGAATAAAATCCATAGAAAAGTTACCAGACACCAAAACAACAATCACTTCAAAGATTATGCTGCCTTAACAATTAAATAACTATTTGTCTTTGTATATGTGCTAACACCTAAAATGTAAAAACATCTGGGGAAGCACTAAGGTTTTATTACAAACCTATTTATAACCTGTTACAATTACTACTGTACTTGTCAAAGCTAAACACATCTTGAGTTGACAAAAGCTTACTTGTTTGGTGTAGTAAATAAAAAAAATAAAATACGCTTAGCATATCAACGGAATATTACATTGTTAACTACTCCCCTTACATATTTTTGATGTATAGGGTATTCTATTAATAGTTAAACTAAGTACGAAATGTTTACTACAGGTGTCAAGTTTTCAAAATAGTATTTCACTGTTTACACAAAACACAAATACTCACGACAAGTGTGCGGATCTTCATCGCTGCCGTCTCTACAATCGTTCTCGTTGTCACATTGCCAGTGAAGTGGAATACATCTGTTGTTTTTGCACTTGAACTCCGTGGATGAACATGATCGATTTTCTGAAACAAAAATAAAATGTTCTACTATCGTCACGTGTAAAGTGGAAAACCCCCTTTTGTTATAGGGTATAAAGTGTAGACCTTAAGGTTTTATTTGGATCATGTTACGTATGAACCAAGTCTCCTACATTTTTTTAAATAAAGATAATGTTGGTTACCTTGAAGAGTATGGCTGAATATTATATACGCAATCCGTAATATGCAAGATTATTTTTTATGACCGCAAGCAAAACAAAAAAAAACCGTAATATATTTTGTTTTCATTTATACTTTCATTCATATAAAATGTAATTCAAAAGATTTCCAATTAAATTCGTGACAAACGTAAAAGAATAATCAAAAGAATTATTATGGGTGTTTAAACTTAAGGTCCTAAAAGAAAACCACACAATTCAAGCAGTCAAAATTATATTAAAATATTTTCACTCATTACTAAAAATATCACCAAAGAGCAAGGATCCTAATCCCAGCTATAAAAGTAATTGATATAATGTTACTCTATAATTACATGTTTTCAGAACGATTAAATTAGCACGCTAAATGAGAAAACAAGGTAATTCAATACAAACACACAGGTACCTAATGAAGCAGAAACCCCTGTATTTAATCAGTTATAAATAATGACCCACAATAACACACTCATGTATGATATCACTCTAAAACCATATTAATAACCAGCAGAATTTTAACACTTTAATCAATTTAATCCCGTAACACGCTCATTAAATATATTTTTGATTCAAACTGAGTGGACGAATGTGAATGTTCTATTCCCATGTTCCAATGTTCAAATCCGAGTTATCACATTTAAGTAGATTTTTTGGCCAATATTTTAAATAAAAAATTTTAATGATTCTATTGAAAGCTTCATTTGATTGTATTTTAAGATAAAATAAGTATTTATTACATTTTGGTGTTCTAATTCAATTTTTTATACGAAAAATACTTAGAAATATTTTATTTAATGGCATTATAGACTATTACTATTTTATGTGATTAGTTTTTAACACTATGTATAACAGTGTGTGCTCTTAGTCTCTTACAGTAAACAATTAATGTGATACGTAAAAAAAATCTTTATAATATTAGCATCATGTTCCACGTAAAACAATCGGCAATTAAATTAGTTATTTAATTTATATCAGATTAACTAAATAAATTAAAACCACGTTATGTGCAAAATATTTATTTTAAGGCTTACCAAATAACTACTATACGCCTACTCATAAATTACTTTGACGTAAATGTAATAAAATAAAACAACAAAATAATAGTTACAAATTATAGAACATATTTTTATCATGATATAAAAGACACAATCAACTGCTGTATTTTGAAATGTCAACGTAAGCAGAGAACATGCTTGCTGTAGCTGCTCTTAACATTTAGGTTAATAACATTTCCCTCGCGAAATTACCCGCCGGTTATTGCTTTTAACGCGCCCTTTTCATCTGCTACATAGCAAATTGAAACATTGGTGGTACAGAAGTCAATTTACGCTTTTAAAAGTTAAGGCTCGTAAATAACTGTTAGTATAGTTAACGATTAAACACCTCATGAAATATTTATTAAGATGCATTCATAGCAATGTTTTAAAATGTATTAATTGGGTAAGTAAGAATAAGGGTGGTTAGTTCAATCTTCCAAATTGTACTAAGTATTAATGGCTACTCAGAGTTTTTTAGCGTCACTAAAAACGCTTAATGACGCTATTAATGTTATATCAATACGTAATTAACAACAGTATTTTAGAGGATAACTATTTATTAAAACTGATTCGTTAGTGTTTGTTACAATAGCTTTGATAATTTTTATATTAGCTCCTATGGTACAAGATAGCCAATATATATATGTAGGTATTTTTAAAGCAATAGGAATATGACATTCTTTGTTAGCGATTGAAAGAATATCAGTCGTCCACTGTGACGGAAACCCTGTGTAAATTTAGAGTACATGTAAGTTACCATGTTTTGAATTGATAATAAAACCTTATTATTGTTGTGTCTAATGATTTTAGTAATGTCACTGTTTAATGTTTATTTTTATTTTATGATATAATAATTGATAATAAATTAAAATATCTCCATAGAGAATAAAGGGAGGACAGGATTGGTTGAGATGGAGATTTACGAGTGTAGTACTTTCATTAGTGAAGAAGGACTCTACTTGATATAACTGGGTCATCACGACTAAGGATGTATTCAAGTTTATTTAATAAAGATTGCAGCTGTCCACTTATAACTTAGTATCAGTTTGAATAAAAAACATGATATGTACAATGATTTGTAGACATATAGGAATTAATTACTAAGTTGAAATGAATTGCAAATTAAAAGTGCTAGGTTATAAAAATATATTCCTGATATAGAATTAAAAATATTTGTGTGTTATAACTAAAATACAATAATACGTCTAATGACATTAGTTAATCAAAATTAGTAACATAGATGTTTAAACTTGAACTAGTTGACTAACAAGACGGTAAACGCATATAGAATATTGTAAATGAGATTCGCTCATTAGGTCTGATAATGATTGGAGTGACCAATCAAAATAGATCACCACTTACTGTATTCCATATGTATTTGTTGTCTTTAAAGTGATTAGTGGAAATATAAATATGCATGTAACAAGTGTGGTATAAGAAGTATTTTTATTTTCTTTCAGAAAACTTAATTAAATGCACGATGTTGACCAAGAATTAATTTTTCCTAAAAATCTAATCAAATCAAAATAAACTTTATTCTAAAAAAAGGAACAGTGGAAAGTAAACATACACTTTCAGTGAGACAAAACATCTTACTTACTATTACATAAAATAAAATAAAATTATACATGTAAAATATTATAATAGTATAAAATAGTTAGGATAATATTAAATAGAAAAAGTGACAAAGTATTTTAGATTTAAAAAAAAGTTAAAACATATTGGAATACCTATTGCCCCCCCCCCATCAACCTTCATGCACTCACCAAACAATCAAACAAATTTGGTAGAATTTTGATCATAATTGGTCCAGAAGTTTTCATTAAATAGCTGCAAATATCCAGACACGTATTTTATTTCAATACCAATAAAACTTATATGAAAAGTGTGTTTAATTCGGTTTTTAAACCCTGAGAACTCACTATATCACTGAATTATGTATGTTTCGTACCTTGGCCTAGGGCCGAACATTAGGTTTTGCTGGCTCGAGATCATTTTTTAAGCTCGAGACGATGTCGAGAGCTGTAAACAATCGACAGCTGCAAAACACTTTCGGCCTGTGGTACGAACGCTATTTTTCACCACACTATACAATATTGAGAAAATATATAGAACTAGCTGTAACCCGCGGGCTTTGCCCCGTTTAACTTCTTAATTTTCAAGATTATCTCGTTCGCATGGCTCAATCACGTCCTGGTTAGTTTGGAAATCCTGGAAGTTTGTTCGCTACGCTCACTCACCTTTAGGTTGGAGCTCGTTCGCTCCGCTCACTCACCTTTAGGTTGGAGCTCGTTCGATGCGCTCACTTGCCTTCAGGTTAGCTCGTTCGCTACGCTAACTCGCCTCCAGGTTGAAGTTCGTTCGCTACGCTCACTCACCTTTTGGTTGCAAATTAGCTGTTGTCATAAATCTAAAAGTAATAATAGTGCTGCACCCTGTTGGTAATCCTTTTAACTTTAATGCTATTGAACATCATAGAACAGAACCAACTTGTTTAATTGAAACAGCTGTTAAGATTCAATAATTCCATTTCTCGTAAGGTTAACATGGGAAACTCCAGAGCCACTGGGGCGGAGCCCGAAAGGATTTTTGAAATAAGAATATGCCTATATGTTAATCGGGAATGTAAGCTATCATCATGCCAAATTTCAGCCCAATCCGACCAGTATTTTTCGCGTTCACTTGTCACAAACATACATCCATACATCCATACATCCATACATCCAAACTTTCTCATTTATAATATTAGTAGGATATGCACGTATAGGGGCCTAATGTACCTATTACCAAATAAAATTGTAAAATACAATTTGTTTTATCATCCACATAATATTTCCACGTTAAATTCTTAATAAAAAAAATCTACAATACGGAAAAATTTAGTTAAAATAAATTAATAAATTATTCACTAAACTTTTTGGATTTATTTCATATGGAAATTTGAAAAATAAAACGCTTGATACAATAACAAAACAATACATTCATATTTAAAACGGAATACTTATTATAAAATATAATAACAATGGAAAACTAACGTACATAATAATAACTATACAATATTGACGTTAGCATATCAAGCAGACATGCTCGCGGTAGCTACTCTTAACATTTAGGTTAATAACATTTCATTCACAAAATTACCCTCCAGTTATTGCCTTTCACACGACCTTTTCATCTGCTACGTAGCAAATTGAAACATTGCCAGTACAAAAGAACCTTTACACGATTGAAAACAACGAGATATTCACTTTTAGCCTTAGGTAGCAATTAACATGTTTAAGTATTAAAAATAATTGGTTATATTTGTGTAATTTGTTTCTAAATTTTAAATACGTTGGATTTAATGAAGTTCGTTGGTGTTTTTGACAATCATGTTGCAATATAACGTTGAGTTTTTCCATGAGTTACAAACCGGTAATCTTTGAGTTGACTGTTTTAAACTCATTGTAAGTATGACTGTTATTCGTTTTGAAATAACTTCTGTAATACTCTGCAATTGCTTGGATTCAAGCAGCATGTACACTAGTTTTTTTTTCTTAAAGTGAATTAAATATTTAAATGAGTTATTTATTTCTTAAACTTCTTATCGTTTAACCATACAAATGTTTTCGCTCAACAAAAAGCAATGAATATAACGGACAGCTTCACGTTAGGAAATTTAGTTTATGAAAAATTGTAAAGGTCTGCTTTCAGGTTGATTCACAATATTGGTAAAAAGTTGGCTAAGAGGGATTTTCCTCTAAACTCTTCAGAGCCGCTCCAACAAAAATTAGTGTCGTGAATATATTTGTTT